AGAGAGGGAGGAAAGGGGAGAAAGGAGAGAAGGAGAGGAGGGAGAGAGGAGAGAGGGAGAGGGAAGAAAGGAGAGTAGAAATAGGAGAAAAGAGATGAGGAAGAAAGGAGAGGAAAGGGGAATTGAGAGGAATGGGAAGAAAAATAGAGAAGGAAAGAGTGAGAGACAAGAGATGAATGAAGAGAAAGGGAAGGATTGAGAAGGTCCAAGGAGGGAACAGCAGAGAAGGACAGAAGGACAAAGTGGGAGAGGGAAAGAGGAGGAAGACAGACACACAGACCCAGAGAGAGCTCCATGAAATCCTCCCGTGTCATTGGCCCATCCATGTCTGTGCACCTCCCCCCACCCCTTCACGTTTCCCCTCTTTTCCCCCTCCCACTTCCCCAGGTCATCTCTGACTGTCCTGAGCCCTGGCAGGTTGAGGGGGGCCCTTGCTCAGTCTCATCCTTGAGGAACAGAGCACCCCAGGGATGGGGACCCCAGTCCAGACCGATTCTTCTGGTGCCAGCTCTTGGCCTGGACCAGGGCCAGGTCCCAGAAGGACCTTCACCTTCCCCTTCATGGCCTACATGGGCCTGGTCCACTCATGCTGGGAGAGGTTCCAACTACAGGGAGACGCTACTGGGTCCCAGGGAGACTGATGGGAGATGCATCCCTGGGAGAGCAGGAAATCCCTCCAAGAAAGGGGAGGTCCAAGAAGGAGGCCTATAGGCCTCTCCCCCTTGCCTGCTGAAAGAAGGCAGAGTGACAGGGAAAGAAAACTGGACTGTCAGCAGATGTGGATTCAGCCTTGGCTCTAAACCTTACTAGCTCTGACATTAACTAGCTACAGCCCATTTACGTAAACCTATATGACTGTGGGCCAGGCACTTAACTTCCTGGGCCTCAGTTTCCCCATCTGTAAAAGAGGGGGTTGGACTGGCGGACCTGCTCATGGTCATAGCAGATGCCAGCTGGTACTCGACTCCAGAGCTGCCCTAGACTCCCCAGGCCTAGCAGCAACATCGCTCCTCCAACACACACTTTCCAGAACCTCTGCTGATTTGTGGCGGTGGGCCCAGCCCTCTGTGCTAGTTGCTGTGGCCCCCTGGGGACGCCCCTCTGCGCTCGGCTCGGTTGTGCTCAGGAACAGCCCCAAGGCCCATTGCTGGGGCTGCCCCTGAAGCCTTTCCAGGCTGGCAGGACCTTCACCACCCAAGGGAGCACTGGAGATGACAGCCAGTGATGGGAGGAAGATGCCAGCCTCCCATCAGGGCTGTGGGAGAAGTTATCAGCTACAAAGTGATGCAGAGATGCTGCAACTACCAGAGGGGTAGTGTGCATGGTGGCCACGGAGCTGGCCTCGAAGCCAGGAAGACCTGGGTTCAAGACCTGCCCCGGATACATAGTGGCTGTGTGACCCTGGGCAAGTCACTTAACCTCTCTTCTAGCCTCAGTTGTAAAATGGAGATAAACCTAAAAACACTATAAAAACACTAGCTACTAATATTTTGTTTCTTCCTTCCCTTGGGGTATTTTAGAAGTCAAGAGGATAATATTTAGGCCAATATTTAAGCTTAAATGGTGAAATTCCAGGCATCATTGGATGGCTGGGGCTGGGGGGACCCTTGGGGGTGCTGGCTGGGTGCCCACTCTTGTAAGGATGGAATTGAATATTTCCGAATTCATTGAATATTTCTGAAGCCTCTCCATGCCCCGTCCTGGGAGTCTGGGAGCTGGCCGGGCACTCACCATTCTGCTGGTGCCCTTGGTACCGGGCACGCTGCTCCGGCCCAGACTAGCACTGGGGGTGGTGCCGCAGCTGCTGCTGATAATCTGGAGCTGCTTCTCGGCACGGTCGGCACGGTCCAGGAGCTCCTCGATGAACTGCTGCAGGCGCACCTTGGCGTTGGCCTCCCGGGCGGCCGTCTCCTTTAGGAACTGGTCGATTTGAACCACCTCCCTGCAGGGTGAGGAAGGTGGTACGCAACTTCTGGGTCCCCTAAAGAACTTGTCCCCTAAGGAACCCATCACCTGTGACCCACACAGGGGAGCCCCCTGACCGCTGACCCCTGGAGGCCCTGTAACCTATGACCTCGGGTATCTCCTCACTTGAGACTCCCAAGGATCCTCCTTACCTGTGATCCCTGGAAATCTCCTCACCCCTGGGGGGGGGGCCCTCACCTATGACCTCTATGGGCCTTGTCATCTGTGACTCTCCTCACCTGTGACCCCTTGGGGTCCTTTTCCCTAAGATCGCTGGCTACCCTGGCCAGCACCCTGTGAAGTACCACAGCTTAGGAAAGGCATCTGTGATCTACAGAGAGCCCAGAGAAGGATGGCCAGGAGCAGCGGGTGGAAATTGCAAAGAAGCCAATTTCTTTGAGCTTGATGTCAGGAAAGGCTTCCCTACTCCCAGGTGGGATGGACAGCTTGGGAGCGGAGGGGGTCCCTCCTCCTCAGAGATCTTCCAGCCGAGGGCGCATAACCACTTGTCAGGTGTGTTGGGGGCGGGATTCCCTCAAGGTCACTTCTACCCTCAGATTCTGTGACCCCCTAAGGACCCCCTCACCTTGGGTCTCCCACCCCCTAGCCCAAGCCCCCTGTGTGTCTCAGACCTCAGGAAATCCATGGGGATCACAGGTGAGGTTAGCATCCCTCCCCCCACACTGCTCCTGGCTCCACCCTCTGGGGTCCCATCACTCAATGCTTGATGGCTGAGGGAAGGCAGTGAGTGTGTCCCTCTGTCCCTTCTGAGCCTTCTTCCCTCCATGCCACACATCCCTATTTCCTTCCACTGGCCTTCAGGTGAGTTCCTGGCCTCAGTGTTCTTGGCTGTCTTGGTTCCACTTCTCTGGACACCCTAGCTTATCAACCTCCTTTCTAAATATGGCGCCCAACTACTCCAGATGTGTTCTGACCGGAGCGTCAGTCACCTTGGTCCTATGAGCCATTCTTTTCTTGCCACAGCCTGAAATCGAAGCAC